TTTCCTTTTTCTTGTAATTCTTTATTTGGATCTTCTGGTGACATAACTGTTTGAAAAGTGTCTGGATCCCCGTCGTTTTTCATTGCTTCTTCCGAAGAGTGCTGTTCTTTTCCGCTCAATGTAGAAGTGTCGCCAACACCCTGGCCCTTGTTGTATCAAAGCCCCGTGACTGCTTTTCAGCGGCGGGCGTATCCGGTGCCTTTCCGTCGAGCAACTGGGCGTGTTGACTCTCCTTTGTTTCATCACTTTGCAAAAGTTCTTGTTGGGCCTCACGTTGCGAGGTGGATGAAAGACTGACACTGGTCTCCGTGGTAGCACTACGGTCAGGTGAAGAACCACCACCGGAAGCAGGACCACCAGCAGGAGGAGAGTAACCAGCGCCAGGCACAAAACCAGCATGACTGCTGCCAGCACCTTCTTGTCCACCAGAATTTACACCGCCTCGACCATCGCTTCCACCACCTCCTACTCCTGCAGTGATGTCGGGACCAGCAACTCCATCAACTAAATTTAAATTTTTACCATTATTTTCCTTGGAAGGGACACCTTCAGAATCTCCGGCCTATATGACAAGAATAGGCAAAACTGAACGCAAAGAAAGCGTCGGCGCGTTTTTATCACATCCACTCGCCAAATACAATGCTTTCTTTCCAAACCCTCCCGGCACCATGCAAACACCCTGTGCGTTGTTCTCCCCGTCCCTCGCATAAACACCGCCAGCACCGCACCACAGCACGCAGAGGGCACACACCAGCAGCACACGGCCAGCCATCATCGCCATCACTCCTGTCACTTGCGTGTAGCCTCCAGCTCAAGCTAACAACACGTCAACGCAGAGCGAAAGCAAAGGAAAAAGACCAGCAGCAGCACGCATTTCATGAGAAATGTTGAACCAATGAAAGTGCAAAACTTACAAAGCCCTGCACAATTTAACAACAATAAAACACACAAAACAAGTGCAAAACAAAAGAAAAGAAAACAAGCAGCAATAAAGCAAAACAGTAAAAATTACAAAAACTGCACCAAAATGGCTCCGGCGCGCATGCACCTATCCTCAACCGTGCGTCCACGTAAAAATTTGTATGCATGTCGTGCATATGAGTGTGTCTGGGATGCGTTCAACGTGACGGATGTGGGAAGCAACGCGGAGCACACAGCAGGGCAGCGGAGGCAAACAAAGAAAAAACAATCATCATAATTACTCTTACTTCATACATCGGACCACAGTAGACGTACACATGTCCCCGTGGCTGAGTGCTGGCACGCACAGCCCACGCTCCCTTTCAGTCCAGAGTGGTGTACGCCAGCGCGGATACTGCGAGCAGCAGCGGGGCACGCACCCACGCAGAGCTGCCGAGGCCGCCGTCGATTTCGCGGAGACGTGACGGTGCGCGGGTGGTCGTCGTAGTTGGCGCCTCTGTTGTGGTCGTACTGGTCTTCAATGCAATAGTCTTCGTTTCTTGTCCTTTTTCGGAATGAATTGTCACACTTTGTGCCCTTGACTTAACGGTTTGTAAAGTTGGTCGCTGTAGCGGAATGCCAGGAACTTGTGATCCTGAATGACCAGACGCAACTGATGCAACTTGGCTGTTGGACACCTTACTGAACACCGTACTTTGTGTGTTTTCCCTACCGTTCGTAATAACTGGTTCCTCTTCTTTTTTGCTTTGGACCTGTAACCCTGATGCCGTTGTACTAGTGGTGCTCGTTGTAGTAATTGGCGCATCTGCCACTCCTTCTGATCCATTCGGGGATTTACTTCCAACGGTTTCCTTCGCCTGTGTCGGAGCTTGTAACCCCGCCACGGTCGCCGTACCTTGTCTTTCTGGCTCAGGAAGCTTCTCCTTTGATCCATTTGCGGTACCGACTGTATTACCCACCACCCCCTGCGCATCGGTCGTACTCATTCCCACTGAAGTACCGATCGCCTGACTTAATACTACTGGAATAATGGTTTCCAAACCTGTTAAATCTGACTTATCGGTTGAAACTGCTGCGTTCGACCTAGAGAGCTTTAAACCAGGACCCTTATCACCATCTTGTTCCTCTTCCAAAGCGGTTGGCGGACCTTGTATGTTTTGCGTATCCTTCCCAACTTGATCCTTTGGCGCATCTTTCCCCAGTTCTCGGTCCGCTTCTGTTCCCTTCTGCTTAACTTCCGCCCCAACTGGTCCCTTTTCTGTACCAGAGTCCGGACCGAGTTCAGGAAGATAAACTTCACTCGCCATCACGCAATCGGACAGGCAGCAGCACAGGGCAAGCACCAACAGGGCGCACAGCAGACGGCACGTCATCATTGTGAGTGTGGTCTTTCAGTGGTGTGGAGCTGATCTGCGCAGTGAGGGACATGGAGAGCAACAGGGGAGACGAGAGGTGCGGCAGACACACACAGAGGGCACACCACATGAGGAGAGGGCAGCAGCCAGGCATGCACCGTACGCCGCACACCACGCACGACACACACTCCAATCCACGGCAACACGCACACACACACACAGCCCTGCCGCAACACCAACGCACAGATGGAAGAGGGAGGAGCAAACAGGAGCGGCACACAAGGCTCCACCGCATGCACACACGGCGAGAGCGGTCCGTCGTGTCGGCACCCCTCACGGGGGGTACGCACACACAAAAGAAGTTGCAGCGCACACAGCAACGCAAAAGCAAAGCTATAATAAAAAAAGAGATATCTCCGCACACCACGCGAATTGTTGGTCCACGGGAAGTGCAGAAAATATTCACCACGATAAAAACAATTCAGTTGCCCTTTGCCCTCGTTGATATTCAGCGTAAACAACTTATTTCATGCAGCCCCGGTCACCACCGCAGCTGCTGACGCACGCGCGACAAGAAGATGCAAAGGATGGGAGATAGTGTGGGAGACCG